AAAATGGTAACACGTTTTAAACTCATTAGAAATCCGGTAAGTGGACCATTCGACGGCTATGTCACCCTAAAAAATTAGTCGGATGATAAAAATACTAGGATCACCCTAGTTATTAAAAAAAGTTTGTTCTTGTAGAGATTTGATTTACTAGCTAAACTACCATGAAAATTGAAAATTAGCTAACGTCTTTAAACAAGGATTTCTTATTTTCTGGAATATGGTACAAACTTACAAACAATTATTTTTTTATTTCTTGTACATAAACTTTTGTGTACAAATATTATATATATATATAGGAATGAAACTAATTAAGCTAAAATCCCATATAACTATGAGAATTAAAAACCACCATTCTACCATTTAAATTTATGGAAGAAGGGACTTAAAAAGTTTAAGATAAAAAGCGCATGTTTAGTAATTCCAAAGAAAAAATGATGTATTTCAAATTCCATTACTCTGCTTTGTCTTGGAATCCTTGTAAAGGAGAGAATCTGAATAAGCGATATTCACATGTCTTTTGCCTTTACGGTAATGCCTACACTTTTTTGTATCAAAAAATTTGTTTGCTTCTTTGTTACCGTTGCGCTCTCTTGTCTCAACTTCTTGGATAGACTCTAAGACCTTAACCACCTCACACATTGTAGGTCTATACTTGGGATTTTGGCTTAGACATTTGAGGGCTAAGGCAACAGCTGTCTGAGCTGCCTCAGTTTTGTACTGGCACTCGAGCCTCGGATCGATTATCCGTCCGAGCTTTCTTTGGTCCCTCAACATGGGTCGCACCCATTCCACGAGGCTCTGTTCTTTTCGTGCCCGGGTGCTATCCATTGACCGTTTTCCAGTAATCAGCTCTAACAAAACTACTCCAAAACTGTACACATCATTCATCGTCGTCAAGTGACCTAGATATATATCACACATGTAAACCATTTAAGACATAAGTATATCTTAAAGCATAACGGTTATATGGTAAAACAAATCATCAACTCAAAACGTTACCAGTCATGATATATTCAGGCGCAGCATAACCTTGTGTTCCCATCACTCGAGTGGTTACATGTGTATGTTCGCCTTCAGGTCCATCTTTGGCAAGACCGAAATCAGATAATCTGGCATTATAGTTCTACAAAAGTTACAAGATTAATCAAAGGTAGCAATTTAATTTACTAGTGCTTAAAAAATTAAAGAGGGTAGAAAAAAAACTCACAGAGTCTAACAATATGTTGGAAGTTTTGAAATCTCTGTAGATGACAGGTTTCTCTGCTTCATGGAGAAAAGCTAAACCTCTAGCGGCTCCAAGGGCTATCTTCATCCTTATTCCCCATGCCATTGCTACGCTATTTCCTGTTTCAATGTAAACGCATTACTTAACACTACTTTATTCCAAGTTCGTTAGTTATAATATTTAAATTCAAAAAAAAAAAGTTTATAAGAAGAAATTAAATTTGTGTGTAAATGATAAAATAAATTAAATTTTGAGGAAGTTAAAGTTAACGTCAATATTTTTGGGTTGATTTTGGTATATACTAACCAAATAGTCAAATACATGATATAAAGTTGAAACATACATGATTCTAAATGAGAAATTTCAAAAAATACCACTTTTCAAGTGTTACTTTAAAAAAATGCCACACTTTTGAAATCTTTACAAAAATGCCATTTTTTCAAAAAAAAAATTTTCTTATATTATTTATGTTTTGGGTTAATTATGTTCTATTAGGGTTTAGTTATGAGGGTTTAGGGGTCAAAACATTTTTTAGTGTTTAGAATTTTAAGATATATGGTTTAAAAATCTATAATTGGTGGCATTTTTGCAAATGAACCCCTCTAAGTAGTATTTTTGCAAATGTGCACATAAAAAGTGGTATTTTTGCAATTTTTCCCTACTAAATAGAAAACGTTTTATCCGGTTTTGAAACAGATGTTAAGAATAATCCTTTTGAAACAAAATCATACAATTGAGGAATTGAAGTGAATAACAATTTAACCAAATATATGAGATAAAAGATTAAGGAGACGACTTAATTACTTCTAAAGAGCTGATTCTCCAAGCTACCTCGAGGCATGTACTCATAAACAAGCACTCTTTGTTCTTCTTCACAACAAAATCCTATAAGCTTCACAAGATTTTCGTTACTTAGTTGTCCCAAAAATATGATCTCCGCCTGCAAATTAAATAAATAATAAAAATAATCAATAACATATTGTATGCATTTTTTATATTATAGTCAGAAAAACAAAGATTATGAAAAATAAAAGTCAAAAATATT